GCTTAATTTTTAGCTATGTGAAACTTAGAGAAAAATCTTTGTGATACTTTGTGTAATAGTTTCCTTAAATTAGAAGTTAGAAATTATAATTTAGGATATTTCAAAATTCATAACTCATTATTTAAAATTCACTATGTCTATACAAAATTTAGAACCTAAAGAAATTTGGAAAAACTTTACAGCCATTAATGCAGTGCCTAGAGCTTCCAAAAAAGAAGAAAAAATAATTCAATTTATTAAAAATTTTGGGGAAAATTTGGGGTTAGATACCCAAGTAGATGCCGTAGGCAATGTAATCATCCGAAAACCAGCTACCACTGGTATGGAACATAAAAAAACAGTTGTCCTACAATCTCACCTAGATATGGTGCATCAAAAAAACAATTCCGTTTCTTTTGATTTTGATACCCAAGGTATTGATATGCTCGTGGAAGGTGATTGGGTGAAAGCCAATGGTACTACACTAGGTGCTGATAATGGTTTGGGAGTAGCCGCCATAATGTCTATTCTGGAAAGCAAAAACATTGCTCACCCCTCGTTAGAAGCATTATTCACGATTGATGAAGAAACTGGGATGACGGGTGCAATAGGATTACAACCTGGTGCCATTTCTGGTGATATACTCCTGAATCTAGATACTGAAGAAGATGACGAAATAGACATCGGGTGTGCTGGTGGGGTAGATGTATCTGCTTATCAATCTTATGAAACGACTCATGCAACTGCAGATTTCTACACCATCGAGATTTCTGGTTTACAAGGTGGACACTCTGGTATGGACATCCACAAAGGTTTTGGGAATGCTAATGTGATTTTAGGAAGATTACTTTTCATAGGGTTAGAATACCAAATACAACTGGCAAATATTGACGGAGGTGGTCTCCGAAATGCTATACCTAGAGAGGCAAAAGCAGTTTTTACAGTACAAAATGCAGATTTATTTTTAGAAAAAATCAGTATTTTGAAACATAATATTGTAGAAGAATTCGCAACCTTGGAAAAAGACCTCCAAATAATCATCCAAAAAGTAGATGCTTCGGAAGTTGTAATTTCTGAACACCATTCTCAACAAATCATTTATACCCTAAAAGCTTTGCACAACGGCGTATATAGGATGTCTCCTGATGTTCCTAATCTGGTAGAGGCCTCTAACAATGTAGCCAGAGTAGAATTGAAAAACGGAAATCTGAAAATTCTCAACCTCACCAGATCTTCGGTAGAATCTACCAAAATGGCTGTGGCAGAACAAATAAAATCGGTTTGTGAACTGGCAAATATATCTGTGGAGTTCAGTGGTAGCTACCCTGGCTGGAAACCAAAACCAGGGTCACATATTGTACAACTGATGGAGAAAATTTATGAGGAAAAATTTGGGAATAAACCCCAAGTTGTTGCTTGTCATGCAGGGTTAGAATGCGGAATCATCGGGGCACACTATCCCAATATGGAGATGGTGAGTTTCGGTCCTACAATCAAAGGAGCTCACTCTCCCGACGAAAAGGCGAGTATCACTTCTACTCAGAAATTTTGGAGTTTCCTACAAGAAATTTTGGCTAATATTCCTAATAAAAACTGATACTGAATAGATTATATTTTTATTAAGGCAATTTGAAATTCAAAACATGATTTACATTTTTTAGTTGGTAACAATAGTTATTTATTTTTTTATCATTACTTTGGATACTTTAAATAATTACCATGTCTAAAATAGTTAAATTGGGTGCTGGCATTGCAGGACATACAGCAGCCCATAAAAAGTATCCATTTAAAATTTATGTTGGTGTTTTATTGTTGGTTGTTTGGTATTTAAAATAGATTTTTTCTACGGAGTGGTAATGATATAAAGTCCTATAAAAAATCATCTAATCTATAATCCATCTGAATTATATTTGAATGATTTGGAATAAATGATACTTATATTTGAAATAAAATTATAAAATTTGTTTAATCATCTACTTTTCAAATTCGTATTCTCTTTCCACCTATCAATAATAAGATTTTATGCTAGAAAAAATTGCACGAAAATTATTTTATACACTTGGTCCAAAAACCCGATTTTGGGCAAGAAGGTTTATATTTTTACCAAAAGATTTAGTTGCGAACAACAATGTTCTAATGCCCCCCAAAGGAATGATTTATACCGGTTCCGGAGATTTCCTAAAACAAGGCACTGCTTGGAAGGATTTTTTGGTAGAAAACGGTCTCCAACCTCATCATGATTTTTTGGATATTGGAAGTGGAAATGGTAGAATTGCAATTGGGCTAAAAAACTATCTGAAAGGGAGTTACCAAGGTTTTGAAGCTATGGAAGTTGGGGTAAATTGGTGCCAGAAAAACATTTCTACCCGCTATCCTAATTTTCAGTTTCGTTTCGTGCCAATTTATAATGATTTGTAGAAATCCCTGTATTAAGACTACAACTAGAACAATTCATAATTGAATTTATACCAATTGCAGTATTACTATAACCAGTTGTATTATAAGCTAAAGTATTAAAACCAACTGCAGTATTTGCA